TTCGCCTGTCGGACCATGTCTTCCAATATGGGAGGTTCTCCGTCATGAATTGGAGGATCTGCTGTCTTCGATCACCCGAAAGGGCCGAACCCCCTGCGTCCCGAGCCGTCTCGGTCTCCTTTCGCCGGGACCCCTCTCCAGGATCGGTGTTCCCTATGGTTCGCTTGGAACGTGTCCTCGCCATCAACACAACTGCACTTACCTCTCGGTTCCCACAGACGGCGCCAACTGAAGAACCGCTGAGTTTTCCCGGACCGAACTGACCTGGTGAGCTCGGCGCGCTGATGAGGAGAGCGTGTCCCACTCCTACAAAACAAACTGGAAGTGGACTATAAGGTGACTGACAGGGGAGCCCCGAGGTCCTCTCCAAGGGCACTCCGACGGTCAAGTTAGTTTTCCGATGAGTGGAATGTAGTGGAAATAAAACTGTTGGAGGTCTTTGGCCAATGGTGAGCGTACCTTATGCTGTTGGGGAGCGTTATCATTTATATCTACTCAAGAGTCCGACCTCCGTACGTTTCGGGACCTGCCTAGTATAGCCTCAATTCGGCGCTGATGGGGTTATCCCCCGTCCTCTGCGTGATTGTTCTCTGGACCCCCGGGGAGCCCTAGCGGCGGTGTGCCTTAGGATGTCTCCCGTGGGCCTGGGGTCCAAGCCCAACTCTGGCCTTCCCGGGCTGCCACGTGTATAAGCCTAGGGCAGGGGCTCTGTAGAATACATTTAATACCCATGAGAGGCGTCAGGTCGTGGTTTCTATTATTCCTCAGGTGGCTGCCCTGTCTAATGTTATTCCTGAGTTTCGACCCTTATTTGTCTTCATCATTGGCTATCGAGCTTTCTAGAGCAGCACTGCAAGATCTGGTCACTTATGAAGTAGCTAGTGCATTGCCTTTTGCACCTGGTCAAGCAATACATGGCCGTGTGGGGACAGTTTGGGTAGTGTTGAACGAGATTTGATTGAAGCTGAGCTCAATGAGGTACAGGGACATTGTGGCAGCTTGTCACCCTATGGTGCATCAGCAATCCACATACCTAGGAGACGCTTAATCTAGACTCAATTGGTGGGGCTTTGGGTGTGCAAGATAAATTGAAAGATGTGGAGGGTTTTCAAGTCGTCTCTCAATCTAAAAACGTGGACTTCGGGCTAAGTTTCATTCTAATCGTACTTTACGCTCTATGAATGCTTCTTCAGATAATTCTTTTTCTGTATTGTCCGATGATGAGAATGTTGTTTTGGAATAATAGGGTTGTCGCTAGAGCCCTGAATTTAAAAAGACTTAGAAAGTTAATTAAGGTGCATTCTGTTCAACTGGTGGCAATTTGTGAACCCAAGATGGATTTGGATTGTCTTAATGATATTCGTTAAAATTGTGTGAAGAAGCGCTGAGCTTCCCCGGACCGAGCTGACCTGACGAGCTCGGTGGGCTGATGAGTAGAGCGTGTCTCGACTTTGCAAAACAAACTGAAAGTGGCCTTTAGGGTGACTACCAGGGGGGCCCCGAGGTCGTCCCCGTGGGCACTACGACGGTCAAATTAGTTTTCCGGTGAGTGGGATTTGACTGGAAGTAAAATTGCGAGGAGTGTCTCGTCAATAGTGAGCGTACCTTATGCCGCTGGGGAGCATTATCATTTATACCTGCTCAACAGTCCGACCTCGGCACGTTTCGGGACCTGCCTAGTATAGCCTCAATCCTGCGCTGAGGGGGATATCCCCCGCCCTCTGCGGGATTGTTCTCTGGACCCCGGTGAGCCCTAGCGGCGGTGTGCCTCAGGATGTCTCCCGTGGGCCTGAGGTCCAAACCCAACTCTGGCCTTCCCGAGCTGCCATGTGTATAGACCCAGGACAGGGCCTCTGCACTAGCCCTATAGATTAGGTAAGGTTTCGAGACAGACCTAATCTACGCCCCTGCCACGTGGGAGACCAGCCTCGTCCTGTCCTGCCATGACCACTCCTGACACCGTACCCTGGCCTCGTGGGAGATCGGCGTCATCCTACTCTGCCATGGCTACCTGCTGCACAGTGCTGTCCCCTGAAAAGCCTCGTCCTCGTCCTTTCGACTGTCGCATCACTTTGGTTTCCGTACTGCTTTTTAAATGCGTTCACATGGTGGCGGTTCAACCCCCAGGTTCACCCCAATTCGATCAGGATTATCATCGGATTCCTGATCTACTGTCAGATCTGCTCCATCCCCTGTTCTCTTTCTCTCTTCCGAGCATCCTACACCATCAAACTCTCCCTTCTTGGGTGGTACTATTTCTCCCGCCGAACTACTAACAAAGGTCGGGGTGGGAAGGGCACCCAAGATCTTCTCTTTGGGGTCCCTCTTCCGTAAAGAACTGGAAGGGGGACTTCTTCCATAAAGAACTGGAAGGGGGACTTCTTCTTTGTTAAATCCACACATTTTCCTCCTAATGTGTGAAAGGTCGGGGAGGTTGTTTCCGACCCCTACTCGGAGGACTTGGATGCCGAGGCTCTCAGCCAACTGGTGAGCTCCACGGTGAAGCTCTACGTGGCCAGGTTCTCCACTGAGCAGATATCTGCGGTCGAGCTGATGGGGACGTTGTCCGGGTCCCCTGGAGGAATGGAGACTTCCCCCCAACTATGACGACAGTAATGCCGCCTCTGTGCTCCTGTTGCCTGTTGTCTTCTCTCTTTTTTTTCCTTTTTACCAACCTGTTTGTACTAGCCTGGAGATGTTTGCTGTAATGAGAATGCTTTCCAAGCTGCTGGGCACGCCTTCCGAGCCGGTCGCCCGACTCCGCAACCGGATGCCGCCAAGAAGACCTCTGAGGCCGCTCCGACTCTCGAGGGCAGCTCGGCCCCTCCGAAGGAATCATCCCACTCTCCATCCCCCTCCAAGTAGGTCGCTAGCAAAAAGAAAGCGACCGGGCAGAAGAGGAGTCGAGGGGATGAGCCCTCCCAACCCGGGAAGAAGCTCGCGCCAGCTCCAGCACAGCCCCACTTCTGTTTTCGTCGGGGGGAGGCCCCCAAGCAGGTTCGGCCCACCTGGGGGTTCGCTCCGCGGAAGAGCACGCACTGGAGACGCTTCCCCCGAGCTTGTGGCACTTCCGCCATGTGGCCCCCGTGAAGTCGGGTCAGGCTCTCACCATGCACGACCCCCGTCACTTCTACCCGTCCTGTGGGCTCTCTATTAATGACCGAACCTAGTTCCCCGAGGTGGCTCGCGAGTTGGTTGCGAGCTCCGTCCTTCCACGCGACAGGAGGTGGATGGAGCTGCCAGCCCGTCCGAGCTCCAGGATATGTACTATACCGCTCAGGCCTGGGTAAGCCTTCTTCCACTTAGGCCACTTGGGTCCCTGTTCTTTCCCTTGATGTAGTTAGTGATGTGCTAATTTCTCTTTCCTTCCTTCAGGCCAACGCCGCCGGTGCTGCCCTTGCGACCCGCTTCTCCGAGTTGTCTCCCGATCTGGAAAAGTTGCAGAAGAAGAATCGGAAGACCGAGCAGAGACTTGCCCAGGCCCTTAAGGAGGCAAACTCCCTTGCCAAACTGGGCAAGACCGAGAAGGAGCTGGAGGTGGCCCAAGTCAGCTCGCCTCCACAAGGTCAGAGCTAGATCAGGAGAGGACGGGCGTGGAGAAGCTGAAGGCGGACCACGTCATCGAGCTCTCTGGCACCGTCAGCCGGGAACGCAAGAAGGCTGTTCGGGAGTTCATCTCCTCTGTACAGTTTGCCGAGGACGTGGCCCTCCTCAACCAGCCCATCCTCTTGGTCGGCTTCACGCGGGCCCTGGACCAGGTGATGGGTCTCAACCTGCCTAGCTTCGACTTGGCCGCATTCAAGGATTACAACCCCGCCGCCGAGGAGAAGTTAGACTGGTTCTTCGATGGGTACTGCAAGGGGCATGCCCTGAAGGACCTGGGGCCGGAGCGACGTGGGAGCCGAATTGGCAGAGGTTCCCCTGGAGAAGGACGAGGCCCCCGGCAGGGCTTCCGGGAAGAAGCCAATGGTTTAGGGGTCTCAGGGGGCTGAGTTGTATATTCTTTCCTTTTCCTGTAGCTCGGTAGGCTATGTAATAGATAGGTTTTGAATGTATATATGAAATTCGAATGAAGCTGTCTAATCTCGGCTCGCAATTCTCGCTTTCGCTGAGCTCTAGCGCCCAAAGCCGTATGCCGACCTCCCGGGTCGAGCACCAAGTAGATCTACCAATGCAGCGTGTCGGCCTCTTGGGTCGAGCATCTATCAGACTTTAAGCTAACAACAGAATTGTCAGGGACAACAGACTAGGGCATTAACAAAATATACCAAACAAATTCCCAGCGTGCCGACCTCCTGGGTAGAGCATCAAACTTTAAAGGTGGCAATGCCGACCTCCTGGGTCGAGCGTCAAAATTTTGAAGGCAGTCATCCCGACTTCCTGAGTTGAGCGTCTTAGCGAGCTACATCGAACTAATTTACGACGTGTCAACCTCCTGGGCCGAGCATCAAACTTTAAAGGCATTTTGTCCATTATCGTTCTTCACCATTCATGGCCCCCCATCAGGACACTTAGCTGGTGTAGGACTTAAACTTAAAAGGTAAACGGTGTCGATAAAGTTTGCAATGAACTGACAAACAAATGGCGTGAAGGTTCACGGCATTGACAAACTTTGTAATGAAGGTCCAAAGTCGAACATTTATTTAATGATGAACTTGTATGAAGAATAGGCCGTAAGACACCCTGGCCCAACCTATCCTACGAACAATCACAATTTCGAGGAGTGCCAAGTTCGGGTACCTCCACTCCATCTAATTTCACAAGATTGCAATAGCCACCTCGGCTCATTTCTAAGACTTTGTACAGCCCCTCCCAGTTCGGATTAAGCTTGTTGGAACTGTGGGCTCGGCTGACTGAATTTTTCCTTTGGATGAGGTCTCCCAGCTGGTACTGCATCTTCCTCACCTTCGCGTTATGGTAGCGGGCGAGTTGACCTTTGTACTTAGCCACCCGTATCGCCGCTTCCTCGTGCTTGGCCTCCAACATGTCCAAGTTACACCTCAATTCTTTTTCGTTGGCTGTCGCAATGAAATTCTGTGTCCGAGGCGAAGGGAGGCCGATCTCTGCGGGTACCACCGCCTCCGCCCATAAGTCAGGGAGAACGGGATCTCATGAGTGGCCGTTCTTGGCGTAGTACGGTAAGCCCAAAGGACACTAGGAAATTCTTTCAGCCAATTAGACCGGGCTAGTTCCAACCTAGTCTTCAGCCCTAGCAGAATGGTTCGGTTAACGTTTTCTACTTGGCCGTTAGCCTGGGGATGACCGACCGACGTGAAGTGTTGGCTAATCCTAAACTCGGCGCACCAGCTCCTGAAGGGATTTTCAGTAAACTGTCACCCATTGTCGGATATCAAGACATGCAGAATCCCAAAACGGCAAACTATGTTCTTCTAGAAGAACTTCTGGACTGCTCGCCCAGAGATAGTGGTCAGAGGCTCCGTTTCTATCCACTTTGTGAAGTAATCGATGGCCACCACGAGATGTTCATATCTCCCGAAAACTCGAGAAAAATGCCCCAAAAGGTCTATTCCCCACTGGGCAAAGGACCAAAGACTGTGGTTGGAGACCATCTCCTGAGTTGGTTGGTGGCGCAGCGGGCGTGCACCTGACAAGTTCGGTATTGCTGAACTAGCGCCGCGGCATCCTGGAATACTGAGGGCCAATAGTAGCCGTGGAGTAGGCACTTTTTGGCCAACACTCGAGATCCCACATGTGCCGCGCATAAGCCTTTGTGAACTTCTCGAAGGATATAGTCGCCCTCCTCAGGAGTTACGCACTTTAGCCAGGGAGACAAATACGACCTCCGGTAGAGGGTCCCTCCAGAGTAGGCGTACTTGGTAACTCTGAACTGGAGTCGGCGAGCCTCGATTTTGTTCACGGGGAGGGCACCCAAGCTGAGGAAATCCATGAGGGGGGTCATCCAATAGGCCGGGCTACCTACAGCCAAGATCTGGACCTGGCCAATACTTTTTTGCTTGACTACCTCCACCAAAACTTCCTTGCTCAGGTAGGCAAACGAGGAGGATGCCAGTTTCGATAGGGCGTCCGCCCGCTTGTTCTGTGACATCGGCACCTGCTCGATCTCAAAAATGTCAAACAGGGTTATCGCCTCTCGCACCTTAGCCAAATATTTTTTCATGACATCCTCGTTGGCCTTGTACTCCCCGCAGACCTGGTAGACTACGAGTTGAGAGTCGCTCTGGACCCTGATCGCGGTTATACCCATCTGGTGGGCTATCCGCAATCCTGTCAATAGGGCCTCGTACTCAGCCTCATTGTTGGATGCCGGAAAGTCAAATGTGAGCGCGTGGGTCAGCTCCTCCCTGGTGGACGAGGTGAGTAGCAGGCCGACTCCGCTCCCTTCCTTACTTGAGACCCCGTCCACAAATAGTATCCATGGCTCTTCTGGCCGTGCCTCCTCGGGCAAAGAGCTCGACTCAGTCACGGATAAATTGGCTCCCTCGACGAGGAAGTCTGCTAGGGCTTGAGCTTTGATATCAGTGCGAGACTGATAGCCGATGTCGTGTTCGGCCAGTTCGACGGCCCACTTGGTCATTCTGCCCGAAACCTCAGGTTTTGTGAGTATCTGACGTAAGGGTTGATCCGTCATGACAACAATGCTGTGGGCCTGGAAGTAAGGTCGGAGCTTCCGGGCGGCGTGCACCAAGGCAAGGACCAACTTTTCTGCCGGCGTGTACCGCGTTTCCGACTCTTGTAAAGCACGGCTGACGTAGTATATTGACCTTTGAGTCCCCCTGTTCTCCCGCACCAAAACCGTGTTAACGGTCTCGTTGCAGGCAGACAAGTATAGGAACAGGGTCTCTCCCTGCTCCGAGGCGGTCAGAGTAGGCAGCTCAGCCAGGTATACCTTTAAGTCGGCGAAGGCTTTCTGGCATTTTTCAGTCCATTGAAAGTCCTTAGGTGCTTTCATGATTTGGAAGAAGGGTAGCCCTCTCACCGCGGAGCGCTAGAGGAATCTATTCAGGCGGCCATCCTTCCCGTGAGCTGCTGGACCTCCTTTATGTTCCTCGGTGGGGCCATGTCCATGACGGCCTGGAGCTTATCTGGATTGGCTAGGATCCCATCTCGGGAGACCAAGAATCCTAGGAACTTTTCAGACCCAACCCCGAAGGTGCACTTTTTCTGGTTGCTTTCCCACAGGATGTTCAGGATTTCCCTCAGGTCGGGAATGAGCTGCCGGTCAGTTCGGCTCTTGACGATCATATCGTCCACGTAAACCTCCATACTCCTGCCGATCTGATTCTAGAACAGTTTGTTGACCAAGCACTGGTAGGTGGCTCCAGCGTTCTTTAGCCCAAACGGCATTGTCCGGTAGTAGTAAGTTCCTTCCTCAGTAATGAAGGAGGTCTTTTCCCGATGTTCTTCGGCCATCTCTATCTGGTGGTATCCCTTGAAAGCATCCAAGAAACACAAAACGTCAAAACCCACAGTAGAATCTACTAACCTGTCGATCCTTGGCAAGGGGAAGCAGTCCTTTGGGAAGGCCTTATTGAGATCTGTGAAGTCCACGCACATCTTCCAAGACTGGTCCTCCTTCTTCACCAAGACGGGGTTGGTTAGCCAGGTCGGGTAATACACCTCCAGGATGATCTTAGATTCCAGCAGCTTGCCGACCTCTCTTGACCACCTCATTCCTCTCCGGGGGGAAATTCCTCTTCTTCTGCTTTACGGGTTTGAAGCGGGGATCTACGTTGAGGTGGTGGACGGCCAGATTAGTCGGAATCTCGGGCATGTCCTCGATCGTGCACGCGAAGACCTGGGAGTACTCCCTTAGCAGGACTTTCAAACCCTCCTTCTCCTCGGAAGGTAACGACGCGCCGATGCGGAGGACCCGATCCGGCCTTTCCTCTCCCAAGGGGAACTCTTCGATCTCGTCCTGGGTATCCAACTGTCGGGCCTCTTCCCCCGAGATGTAGGGCTCCAAGCTGGTCGTCTGGGCGACCACCTTCTCTTGTCCCCGGAGCACGGCCAGGTAGCAAGCTCAGACCACTTCCGAATCTCCACGTACCTCGGCTATTCCTCCCGATGTGGGGAATTTGACGCTGAGGTGGAGCATAGAAGAGATAGCTCAGAGGGCGTTCAAGGCGGGCCGACCCAGGAATATATTGTGCGGGAATTGTTGTTTGACCACCACAAAGTTGACGGGGATGGTTCGACATTTGGGCGGCCTGTCCTACCATAACCATCAGGGTGATCATCCCCTCCGAGTTGATGGGTGTTCCGGTGAAACCCACCAGGGGTGTCCGAACAGGGGTCAACTGTCCATCCTCCAAGTCGAGCTCTCTGAACACCCGATAAAATAGGATGTCCACCGCACTTCTTTGGTCGACGTACACCTTCTTCACTCGATAGTTATTGGTTACGACGTCTATTACGATGGCCTCGTGGTTCCCGGATGCCAGGAGAACCGCATCCCTTGGTCCGAAGGTGATCTCGTCGTCCATGCGCAGGGGCTTCAGGGAATCGTCCCCTTCGGGGAGAGGTCCCCTGTTTTTCCGAGCTGCATGGCTGTTCCTCCTCGTGGGACCCCCGACAATGGTGTTTATCACCCCTGCTAGGTTCTGGGTATCCTGGTCGGGGGAGTGAGTCCAAGGAATATCACGCCGCTCAGGACGGTCGTGACGCTGGCTCTCGCCTCTATCTCCGCGGTGGGTACGTCCTGGTTCCTGGCCGGGTCGACCTGGCCACACAAATCGCCCCAAGAAGCCGCGCTGGATCAGGTCCTCGATCTCCTTACGCAGGGCCCAGCACCCCTTCGTGTCATGCCCGACGTCACGGTGAAGAGCGCAATACCGGTCCTGATTTCTCTTGTTCCGGGGTGTCCCCATCTTAGGCGGCCGTTCTCCTAGGCCCTCCGCCTCCATAACGGCCAGGATCTGGGTTCTGGGTCGAGTTAGGGGGTGTACCCCTTTTCCGGAAGCGGCCGTTGAGCGGGGGTTTTCTCCTTTGAGAGTCGGTCAAAAACATTCTTCTTAGCCGGGCCGTCCTTGTTTTCAGGGAGGTTTTCACGTCCTCTCCGATTTCCGATCTCCTTATCTGACTCTCTCTTCAGGCGTGCCGCCTCCTCTGCGTTAGCGGCTGCGTGCGCTCTGGTCCGGAGCTCTTCCAGATCTCCGGGAGACTTCTCAGCCAACTTGTAGAAGAGCTCCTCTGCCCTGAACCCGTTCATGAAGGCAGCCATCACCACCTTCTCATCCTTGTCCCTGATCTGCAGGCTCTCCGTGTTGAAGCGAGCCATGAAATTTCTCAGGGACTCGTCCGGCTTCTGCCTGATTGCCATCAAGTGAGCCGCGTTCTTCGAATAGGTCTTTGAAGAGACGAACTGGGCGACGAACTGCCTGGCCAGTTCGGGAAAACTTCGGATGGACTCTGGTGCTAGACCCTGGAACCAGAGCCGGGCCCTCCCCTTCAGAAACATGGGGAAGGTCTTGTAACGGATTTCATCTGCGGCTGTTTGCAGACGCATGTGCGTCAGGAAGACCGAGAGGTGGTCCTCCGGATCAGTCGAAGCGTCATACAGCTCAATGTTCGGGATCTTGAATCTCCGAGGTAGCGGACAGTCCTCTATCTCCTGGGTAAAAGGCGAGGCTGTGTACTTGTCCTCGTATAATTGCGGCCGCAAGATCTGCTCGAGCTCATCCCGGACAGGCTTCCACGGGGGAAGGTCGCGCAGTCGTTTCTTGGCGGATCGATCGGGGGAGCGATTAGGCTCATTCCGCCCGGGCTTCCACTGGGAGGGGTTTTTCCGCCGGCTCCCAGCGGTCCGGCCGCTGGAACACCTCTCGTTATCTCCGACCACCGAGGCTCGTGGCCGAGGGGGAGTCCGTGGCCGTTTCCTCTTGGGGGGTAGGTCCCGCGACTCATCCTCCGAGAGAATGAGAGATGACTCATTCTCTCTCTCCTTTGCCTTGGAAGTTTGCGCGCCCCCAGCTTCACCCCCTCATTCGCCTGTCGGATCATGTCTTCCAACATGTGGAGGTTCTTCGTCACGAATTGGAGGATCTGCTGTTTCCGATCCCCCAAAAGGGCCGAGCCCCCTGCGTCCCGAGCCGTCTCGGTCTCCTTTCGCCGGGACCCCTCTCCGGGATCGGTGTTCTCTATGGTTCGTTTGAAACGTGTTCTCACCATCAACACAACTGCACTTACCTCTCGGTTCCCACAGATGGCGCCAACTGAAGAAGCGCTGAGCTTCCCCAGACCGAGCTGACCTGACGAGCTTGGTAGGCTGATGAGGAGAGTGTGTCCTGACCCTACAAAACAAACTGAAAGTGGCCTTTAGGGTGACTGCCGGGAGGGCTCCGAGGTCGTCCCCGTGGGCACTCCGACGGTCAAGTTAGTTTTTCGGTGAGTGGGATTTGACTGGAAGTAAAATTGCGAGGAGTGTCTCGTCAATACTGAGCATACCTTATGCCGCTGGGAGCGTTATCATTTATATCTGCTCAAGAGTCCGACCTCCGTACGTTTCGGGACCTACCTAGTATAGCCTCAATCCCGCGCTGAGCGGGATATCCCCCGCCCTCTGCGGGATTGTTCTCTGGACCCCCGGGGAGCCCTAGCGACGGTGTGCCTCAGGATGTCTCCCGTGGGCCTGGGGTCCAAACCCAGCTCTGGCCTTCCCGGGCTGCCACGTGTATAGGCTCAGGACAGGGCCTCTGCATTGTGAATAGACTATTGTGTTGCAAATCGATAGGGAACCTTGCGGATTTTTTACCAGTCTTCTATTAAGTGTCAGAGTGTTGGGGAGTCTTGTCAATATTTAACACTCCATATTCAATCTCAAGATTTCCTTTCAATAGTTTACTTCTCTTTCATTCATGCTAAGTGCATAATTCAGGAAAGGGAGACCTTGTGATTCGATCTGTTGATAGATAAACCAACTTCTAATCCTTGGTTTCTTGCTGGAAATTTTAACTTGATAGTGTATGCAAAAGAGAAACGAGGTGGTTTACCTTTTCAGTTTAATGAAAGGACAGATTTCCTACATTTCATCTCTATCGCAGAAGGTTTGATGCTGATTTTTCTGGCCCAAAGATTACATGGTATAGTAATAGGCAAGGGTGGCCTTGAGTGTGAAAGCGATTGGATAGGTTCTTACTTAATTCAGATGCCATGCGAATGGAGAATAACGTCCTTGTAGAACATTTGGGTAGGGATCTCTCATATCACACTCCCCTCTTATCATCTGCATCAATGAGATTAGATGACAAACCAAAACCTTTTCGATTTTTGAATGTTTGGACCTCAAATACGGGGCTTTTAGATGTAATTAGGAAGAGCTAGTCATGTGCTTTTACTGGTTCTCCATTGCACATTTTGTCTGATAAATTGCATAATATTAAGCAGGCTCTTAAATAGTGGTCCAAGGATTTCATGGCTATTAGGGATGTAGAGTGGATGGTTTTGGAGGCTGAACTTTCATACAACAATGATCCATTAGAACAATTATTGCTCAGTGAGAAATACTCCAGTAATTGAAGAGGGCTTTTGGAAGCAGAAAACAAGGGTAAAGTGGCTTAATGGTGGAGATTGGAATTCTAAATACTTTCATGCGGTGGTGGCTGAGAGGAGAAGTAGGGCTATCATTCACTGCATTCAAAAAGCCAATGTAATTTGGGTAGATCCAAAACCTCAAATCTGTAGTGAAGCGGTTTCCTTATTTCAAGATTTCTTCAAGGCCGAATCTTGCCCTGTATCGTATGACTTGGTAAATGTTATTCCTAAGCTTGTTTCTAATCAGGATAATTTGATGTTAACGAAGATTTCTCCACTCCAAGAAGTGAACACTATAGTTTTTTCAATGGATGAGAAGAGTGCAGCGGGTCCTAATGGTTTTACGGGAAAATTTTTCATTTTTGCATAGGACGTTGTTGCCAAGGATGTGCATAGGGCAATATCTAGTTTTTTCTGTGGTGCGGAGCTGCCAAAAAATGTTACTGCTACGTCTATTGTCTTGATTGCAAAAGTTCACTGTCGACAAGATTTGACACAGTATCACCCTATAAGTTTGTGTAATTTTATTAATAAAGTTATTTCTCAGATTTTATTAGATCACTTAACTACGATTCTTCCGCGTATTATTTCTCCACAACAAAGTGATTTTGTTAAGAGGAGGCAGATTTCTGATAATTTTCTATTAGCCCCGCAGTTGCTGACTGACATTAGGAAGGCCAATCAGGGAGACAATTTGGTGATGAAACTGGATATGATGAAGGCATATAATAAAGTCTCATGGTGTTTTCTCTTACAAGGTCTGCATCGATTTGGTTTTAATGAGGTTTTGATTGATATGATATGGAGGCTAATTTCTAATGTGTGATTCTCAGTGGTTATCAATGGCTCACCGCAGGGGCTTTTTAAGTCCACACAAGGTTTAAGATAAGGGGATCCAATTTCACCAGTTTTGTTTGTTATTGGTGCTGAAGTTTTGTCTATTCGTTGAATGCATTAATCCTATAGAGGCATTTTAATCCTTTTAAAGTTCCTATTAGCTGTCTAGCTATCACTTATGTGCTCTGTGCGGATGATGTGGTCATTTTTACTAGTGGCCTAAAGTCGTCCTTATAGTTGGTGATGGGCATTTTGGGTGATTGTTATACGGTTTCAGGTTAGAAGATTAATCAGCAAAAGAGCTATTATTTGATGCATCCTAGCTTGCCTCCTCTGCGTAGAGTGTTGATAGGGCAGGTGATTAGGTTTCAGAAAAAGTCATTTTCAGAAAAAGTCATTTATTAGTAGAAGAAAGAAGGTATGCTGATTTTTGTAGTTCTGTGGCCAATAAGATTATGTCTTGAAGCAGCGTGCTCTATCACCCGGGGGAAGAATTGTTTTAATAAAAAGTGTATTGTCTTCAATCCCGGTTCATTTGTTAGCAGCTGCATCTCCTCCTAAAGGGGTGCTCCTAGAGTTGGAAAAACTATTGGCAACATTTCTGTGGGGTTCATCTGAATTTGGCTCCAAGTTTCATTGGATGAAATGGCTTGACCTTTGTCAACCTTACAATGAGGAGGGGCTAGGCTTCCGTAACTTAAGGACATTTTTTATGCCTTTTCTTTAAAGCTTTGGTGGCTTTTTAGGGAAAAATACTCTCTTTTGGCAAAGTTCACGTCCTTAAAATTTTATGGAGGGATACATCCTTGTATTGCAAAGGAAGGCTCTGTGCATTCTTATGCTTGGCGGAGGTTGCGTTTGGTGTAGAGTATAGTGGAGGAGTACATTGGTTGGATTGTTCAAAAAGGTTCGATGCATTTTTGGAATGATAATTGGATGTGTTCGGGGGCTTTGTGTTAATGGTTAGAGATTTTTCATGAACATAAGATGGTTGATTTCGCGGATCGGGGGGTGTGGAATGTCTGAATGCTAAGTCAGTTGTTGGAATCAAAGGTTGTTAGGCAAGTGATGAGTATTTTGCCTCCTTCACTACGTGGGGAGGATAGAATGGTATGGATATTGACTCCTAGCCGTGAGTTTTTGGTCTCCTCTGCCTATTCCATTGTCAGATAGGCTTCAAATGTTTCTTTGATTGCTGCATGTGCTTGGCAAAAGTCGCTTCCGATCAAGGTCTCCTTTTTTATGTTTAGGTTATTGCACTTTAAGCTCCCTCTTATGGACCAATTGAGAAAGTTTGGAGTTTAGGGACCTTCTAGGTGTTTTTGTTGTCATGAGCCTCAGGAGGAGCACTTGAATCATGTATTCTGTATAGGTAAAATTGCATGGAAAATTTGGAGGGATTTTGATATTCATGCTGGTGAATCATTCTCAGTCGGCACAATTCGGCAAATGGTGATGTTGTGGCTGATTCGGCCATCAAAAAATTTATACTTGACATTTGTTTATTATATTCTGCCCTTTTTGATTTGTTGGGAGTTGTGGAAGGCAAGGAATAGGGTAGTTTTTGAAGGGCGGAGCTTGGGATGTGACAGGATTCCTGGTCAGGTGTTCGGCTAGTCGCAAGAGTTTTTTCACGAGCAATTTCCAACATTAGTGTTCTTTTTTCTCTTGAGAGGAGTTTCTGTTGAGATATGCCAACTTTTCCTACAGATTTTATCAGATTGAGTTTGATATCAAAATAATTTAGTTATTAGAAAATAAGGATATTTGTTAACCAAAGATCATGTTGGTTTGTTAACAAATATTTTAGATAAGATTTGCTAGTAGTAGAAGATTATATTTTGTTGAGATTTTTAGGATAATTGTTAGTTGGATATTTTGCTAGTTTGTTTCATGTAATCACTATAAATAGTGAGTTGATGAATGTAAAACATAAGCTCATTTTTCACCTTCAAAAAAAAAAAAAATTGCTAGTTTGTTTCATGTAATCACTATAAATAGTGAGTTGATGAATGTAAAACACAAGCTCGTTTTCCACCTTCAATAGAAGTCTCTTATAAGCTTTTTTGCAACACTAAGGTGTTGTTTCTTAGTTTATGCCTCAAAAAAACCAACAGTTTCATTGCTTTTTGGTTGATC